TAGTAGTACGTAACGTAACGTACGTAGTACTACTAACTACTAACTACACTAACTAATAATAATAATAATAATAATATAATATATATATATATATTATTATTATTATTATTATTATAAAATGACTAAATACTGATGCTGCTGTTCTTCTAGTATTATTATCATCATCGTGTCATCATGGTTCTCAAGGAAACCATTGTTCATTTGCATTATTGCTGTCCATTGGTGATGAAAAGTGTAGATTTATCATATTTTAAAAGATGTGCCACTTTTTGGCTCCTCCTTAATAGACATGTCAAATCTACATCGTCCTGCTAAAATAGATGGTGTAAAACATTAGAACTTCACTTTCACAAGGTTGCAACCTTATACAAACCGCACCCTAATAATAATAATAATAACAAATAAAATACCACTGCTGCTGCTGCTGTTCTAGTATTATTACTGTCGTCGTCATCGTAGCTGTCGTCATGGTTGTCAAGGAAACCATTATCCATTTGCATTATTGCTGCCCATTAGTGATGGAAAGAGAGATCAGGACCCACCATTGGAGTCATGTCCTATTCTCGTGTATCTTAATCTCTTTGCATCACTATCCATCATTTCATTGGGCAGTTAGATTTCCACGAGCTTTGGTTTTCCATAATCGTTGGATGTACTGTATTTTCCCTATTCTTGTTTGGTGTTATGGTGTCTTGCTTAATTACACAATGTTAAATGTTGGGTTTCCTTAATGTTGTCTGTGCATCTGGTTCCAGGCTTGAGCAGTTTAATGATATCTTGCTTCAAGAGAATGATAATAGGGGTAGTGACTTGACGGTTCCTTTAGTTGATTTATCTGCTCTATCCTTTGTGGAATCTAATGAATCAACTCCTTTGGAGGTTATGAAGGTATGGTACTCGTTTTTCCTCTTGATACGTCATTCTAACTTTTGTAAGTATATCTTTGGGCAAATACTTTAGTGTAGAGTTTCTCATGGTGCGAAATTTGTGTTTTCCAAAAGAATGCTTTAATTTATTTCACCTCAAGACTTGTACCTGTTATTTAATTTCTAACAAGCAAAACAGATCAGAAACCCTTGAAGGCACAGAAAATGGAACAAAACCGTGAACTGATCATCAGTATTGCTCACTGTTATTACCAGATCATATGTGTTTTTTCCTTCTTTAGAATACATATATGTAGATGACCAGAAGTATGGTTGTCTTGTTAGATCTTAGATGTATATGTTTCATCTTCTCACGGAATCTTTACATCAATTTCTTTCATTAATGAACTAATTTGGTTATACCTCATGATCAAAAGGAATTAGGTTGTGTCTCTTGTTTATCTAAGAATTTTGCAGACCTTGCCCTTGTAATGCTTATTTTCAATTTTTTGATCCCTTTATGACAATTCACAAAAATAAGTACTAGATTGGGCTTGTGAATCTTTACCTGCTAACAGTTTCTACTGATCTCTCTTGGTCACTGCACCAGTTTTTTGTTGGAGACAACACATAAATGGGAACTATATTGGAACACAATAAATATGGAAACCTCCATTGGGATCATCACCATTAAATGAAATGAAAGATGTGAGGATAATTGGGCCTGAAATCAGGTTCCTGTCCTGTCCTGGTCTATTGGGTACGAAGGAGAAATTTTTCTTAACCATGGCTTGGTTGCAAATTTGCAATGCAGGAAACTCGGTATGGTAATCTTGTTTGCCTCGGGAATGTTGATGGCTGCCCCATTCTGACTATAACGTAAGTTCTCTTTCTTCACAAATATGCAACAGTTGAATGCTATACTTTATGGGTGTGGTTTGTATAAAGTTGAGGTCCTAAACAATCAAAGTATAACTCACCTTCAAATAATGACGAAAGATGTTTCACTACGAGAAATCTTTATGATGGCTTCAAAAATAGTGTAGATTGAGCAGATCTATGAACACTTGAAAATTTTGAAAATTGATAGTCCAGAAAATGCTTTACATGATGCACTATTACCAAGACTTGAAATCCATTTTTTCTCATATCCATGTATCTTGAGGTTGATGATCGAATTGAGGTTTTTGGGCATCTAAACAACCTCTTCTAGTGAATTTTTAAAATACACCTCAATTTTGATTGTTTAGGACCTCATCCTTATATAAACTTTTTTCATGTTTTATTATTTGAAGTTTGAACTTAATTTTATTCAGTCCAAAAGCATGAAATACCAAAAATCTGTCAATATCAATAATCTATCTCACCCCACTCTTAAAGGGATAATTAGAATTCAAAGTAGTGGATTCATGACTATCTGTCATTGTTATGCATAAAAATATAAAGGATGAGAAGATCATCTTTTGTTCCCAAGGGTCACTGATGCTGCTAATTTATTTGCAGTAACTAAACTATAGTCTCTTGGGAAAATTATGTAAATGTCCATTTTATTTTTTGTTATATCCAACATACCTAAAACTTTTTGTTATTACTCGTATGTCCATTTTTTGGACTTCATAATGATTTTTTTTAAAAAAAGATCGAATTACCCATTTTTGGTTTTTCAAAAATCGAGATGGGCCTGATTTCGGTTTTTGAAAAACCGAAAATGTCTGGTCCTTCTCTTACTACCCTAACCTTTCGGTCTCCGCTTTTGCTCTCTGCAATTTTTTCTCTCTTTCCTCTCTCACAAGAAATCTGTGCAATTTTTTCTCTCTTTCCTCTCTCACGAGAGACCCAACACCCTACAGCTTTGGGCCTTATTTATTTGGGATAATAAAAAAAAAGAGGAGCCGCTTGCACAAATAATGTGGAGATGAAACATTGTCATTGTTTCCTTTGCTGTTGTCTACTAATCGAATATTTGAACTTGTACAGCTAAGAGATACAAGCAGGCCAGAGAGTGTTATCTCGTCTTCTCTAATGGTCTTTTATGTTTTGGTGCTTATAACTAACATGACCTTAAGTGATCATCGTTAGGTCATTTTGGTTGGAACAAAAGAGACAGTCTCAAGAGCTCTTGAGAAGGCCAAGAGGTTCCGAACTGAACTTCTCGGACGAGGTGTTATTCTCATCCCTATGATATGGGATGATGACAAAAAGCATACAACGGATAAAACAGGGTTGAGGTCTTAGAAAAAAGCAGCTAGCTTTCTCCTCTTCTTTTATGTTATCCCAAATAAATAAGGCCTAAAGCTATAGGGTTGGGTCTCTTGTGAGAAAGGAAAGAGAGAAAAAATTACACAGATTTATTGTGAGATAGGAAAGAGAGAGAAAAAAAAAAATTGCAGAGAGCAACAGTAGAGATTGAAAGGTTAGCGTAGTGAAAGAAGGATGGCTAGTTTTGGTTTTTCAAAAATTGAAATCAGGCTCATTTCAGTTTTTTGAAAATCCGAAAATGGGCAATTCCATTTTTTTTTAAAAAAAATCGTTATGAAGTCTAAAAAACGGACAAATGAGTAATAACGGAAAGTTTTAGGTATTTTAGTAATAACAAAAAATAAAATGGCTATTTACATAATTTTCCCGTCTCTTTATAGTTGCATGTGTGTGTGAGAGAGAGAGCGACGGAGATTACTTTTCCTTGTTTCTCTGCATAATTTTCTATACAATTTTCTGGTTTTAGTTTTTTGAGATACTTATTCTCGAGGTTATTCATAAGGATTTTCGAGATATTTATGTAAAGGATTTTCTTAAGGAGAGTCTGTTTCTTTGAAGGTGCTCCCTCTCTGACGTGGAGGACTTCAAATCCGGCAAGAAGCCGAGGCAAAAGCCATGCAAGAGGTACATTGACACATTGGTGGTCGGTCTCACAAATGGTTTGGGGATATCAGAAGATGAAGCGCTGGCCTACATTGATTATGTTGCTTCAAGGCCACTATAATTTAAAGGGTGTTGTGGGCATAAGGTTGCAACCTCAAACACCTAAAATAAGGCGCACCTTTAAATCTTATCATAAGATGTAATTTTAGTACAAAAAACTATTAGGATGGCTTGAGAATCTATTTTCATATCTATTTATAAAATTCTAAATTTCGAAAATGGTTCAACTCAAGTAGATCTATAAAAACATAAAAATCTTGAAAATAGATGATCCAAATAATAGGTTGCAAGATAATTATTTTTGGGACCTGAAATCTTTTTTCCTTGCATATTTGTATATCTTGATGTCGAGAAGATCAATTAGAGGGTTTTTAAACATCAAAATAACATTTTTCAATGGATTTTTGAGGTGCACCTTAATTCTACAATTTAAAGTTACAACCATATAATTTTTTTCCTAATTTAAATGTGTTTTTAAAAATATTAATATCCACTGCTTCATGCCTATGTGGAGAGTTGGTGTTATCTGCTGTCTCAACTGATTGATATCACCACAATGCAGGCTAATTATTTTTTGGGATTTTGGATCACTGTTAATGATCATGCAAACCCTCTTTGCTGTTTGAAATTCTAAGTCATTTATTTGGAATCTCTCTCTCTCATATACACACATACATGCATACACATGCCCTTATATGTGTAAACACACGTGGGAACGTCAGTTTCATCATACGACTTGCCTATATGCCTTCCTCTCTCTCACCTTACATTGGCAGGCATTTCCCCTTTTTTTATAGATTTAATCTTTTATCTAAGAGAAGACTCTTTGAATGTTTGCCCATTTAAAAGAATTAAAAATACTAATAAAATTAATCTTTCAAAATGATCAGTGCACTATGATCAATGCACCAATTCCCCTTGTATGTCTTAAGGGATTATATACAATGGGACCATTTATCTTTATGGCTAGAATGACACATTTACACCAAGCCATTAGAGATCAAATTGGATGGCTTGAGCTAGTCATGAAGTCTGAGAAACTTTTTTTTAAACTTTGAGTCATTTCAATGACACTTTTACGTTCATCCAATTTGAAATCCATCCAATTTGAAGTCCAAAGGACAAGAATAATTGTGATCTTGTATGAAAAGTAAATGGTTTCTTTGTATATTTTATATGAACATGCACATTTTTGTAGCACTAAATTGGCTCATTTCCCCTATTGCATCCGATTTTTACCTTGTAGCACTAAAGTGGCTCATTTCCCCTTTTGCATCGGATTTTTACCCATTGTGTTAACTTTTTACGTACGTAACTGTGGAAAAAAGCACATCCCAAGTATTGAAAGTATTCATGGAGAACGTAGAAGCTATTCATTTAACTAGAAAAAGAGCTTGGGCTTAATTGGTTAGCGCTTGATGATTTGTAACACTATGTCTCATTTCTACCAAGGGTAGAAACCCTCTCCCCACTTATCTTTGCAAATTGAAGTATGTGCAACTTATAATTGGAGATTAACAATAAAAACAATTGTCATAATTGAGAGCTAATACGGAAACCCACCCAAGAGAGCTGGAATCGTGCTCTGAAGCAATGGAGGAGGTAGAATTGTATTTTAGGAAAAGCAATACTATGTCTTTGGCTCAATTCCTATCTAGGGTAGGGGCCTTCTCCCCTCCACTAACTCACCAAAAAAAAAAACTTATTTATTTGACAGTGGTACACATTAAAACATGGCTTGATCCAAAGGCAGATGTAAAGACAAGGTAAAAAGGATTGGTCTACTCCAGAGAGTGAGAGATTTAAGATGTAAATTTGCATTCTATGGACTGTATAATCACACATTTCCTCATTTGAAACTTAAAAAAAAAAGATATGGGGATTCATGAAAAATTTTAACAAAGTTTTACACTGGTTTTTTACCTAACATAACCTATTTTTTTACTCAGGCTTGAGACGGGCCAAAGAAAAGTTTAAGATCCTCATCAGCCTTAGACCACAATTTCAAAGAAAGAAAAAAGGGGAGAGGAATTTGGACAAAGTTTTTACGTTGATTGATTACAATTTGTCAAGAGATGGGTCACTCAGGACAGAGTAATAGATTAGTTTCTTGCCATTTTCCACTAAGCACTCCATTAATTCACTAGTACAATGGAGAAACATCAGATTTCACAGTTTGTTCTCTGTCCTGCAAAAAAGTAGTATTGCCACTATCCTTTTTAGCTCAGTATTAATTTAATAAGGGTGAGGTTTGTATAAGGTGTCAACCTTAGACAATCACGGTAAAATGCACTTCAAAATCTCATTAAAAGAAGATGTATATGTAGTGCTAAAACTTTTATCATAGCCTAAAAGTCTAGTTTTCACCCCTATAATCACATTGAAAGCTCTGAAAATGATGCATATCTATGAGCATTTGAAAATCTTGAAAATAGACAAGCTAAATAATGTTTTACAAGATGCGTTATTTTTGTGACTTGAAATTCATTTTTTCTTTCATATCTGGAAGCCAAGATGATCAATTGGAGAATTTTTTAATGATGAAATAACCTTTTTCGATGGGTATTTGAGGTGCACCTTACCACTACAGTATATGATTAACACCTTATATAAATTTTTCCATTTAATAATGAAACAAGATTTTCCACAATCCCGTACAAATAGGAGAATCGACCCAAAGAAGACAAAAAATAAAATAAAAATAAACTTGGTCTCTGACAAAAGTTTATGCATTTCACTTGACACCCTGCTTTGGCCTCAAGAAACAAATCTACATTTAAAACATATTAAAAATGAATAGAGATCATTCGAAAAGGCCAAAAAAAAGAAGAAAATGAATACTTTCACATGTATTGGCTAGAAATTGAGCTCCCTTCGAAGCCTAACTTTCAAAACATGCATGATCAGCTGCAGCTATTTTGATCTCAAACTCGCATGTCCCGTGCCATTCAAATGTGTGAATAGGTTGTTCCTGTGAATCAAATACACAGCTGATCAGAAGTATCACAATAGATTTAGAATACATATGCATACAACTTCTTTTCTAAGAGAGTTACATGCCACATGCATACATATATAAAGAAGCCAAAAGATTTTATGCTTCCTCTGGAGCATATTGCAGTGTTTGCAAAATCGAACCGGTACGGTTATCCAGACATGGGATTGGAAGTGGTTTAACTGGCCTAACCGGCAAACCTGCCGATTCAACTGCTCTAACCGGACAAGTCCCAGGTGGTAAAAAAAAATGTTGAAAAAACATAAAAAAAATATCAAAAAAATCTACTAAAATATGAAAAGCATATAAAAATGATTAAAATAAAACACATTCAAATGAAGTTGAAAATTAATAAAAAAAAATGAATTTTAACCCATTTTATATTTTCCAAGGGCTATTTTTAAAATTTTCTAAAAAAGATGGGAAAATATAAAAGTGACTATTAATTACCAAAACAATTTTTAATCTTTACCATAATGTAAAAAATATTTAAAAATACATTACAAATCAAATTCCTTATTTTTGAAATTTTTTTTTTTTAAATACCGGTTGATCATCCTAACCGCCCAAAACCGGAACCGGCCACTGGCCGATTCCGATCTAATCAGGAGGTTAGCGGTTAGATCGGGCGATTTTGCAAACAATGGTATATTGCATGTCCATTTACTCCCATGGGCAAAAAAACCCCAACTTACTAGTATTTTTGGGACCCCAAATTTTGAGGATGTGACTTCTTCTACCCATATGCTATACTCAATTTAAAAAAAATGAATTGCATTCTTTGTGGGCTTGAAAGAAATAATTTGTCAAGATTGAATAGACTGTCCAATTTTTAAAGGATGATATCTAAGTGTGGGAAAACTCAAAATTTAAATTTTTTTGTTTCGAAATAATCATCTAGAGATTTTTAGGTGGTTCCCAAATTCTTAGATTAAAAAATCCTATCCAAATTAGCCTTCTGCCTGAGGGAATAAGTGTCAATATGAGCCCATGGGAGCATAGTACACGTGCTCTATAAGTAAATATACACAAATGCATATTTTGTATGTGTGTGAACGTGCATGCATCCGAATGATATTAGTCAAAGAAACAATACAAAAATACATAAGATACAATTGAAGAATATATCCTTACGTATGAACGCACAAAAAGCTTTTCTCAGCTCCTACAAATAAGATGGCAGAAAAATGAGGGCAGATGTTAAGAACTGAGAAGAAAAGCTCAGAATATCTTCAACATACCTCGTTTCAAAATTCTCACCACATGTCTCACATTGGAGGCCAGGTTTCTTTGATGGCGCAGCCTGATAGAAATGCATCATGTCATTATTAGACAATAAACTAGATAAGCTTGAGCTAATTACAACTTAATTATAAGAGAAGATTAGATGATAGAACAAGATAACAACATGCCAATTTAATGAAGTACAATGGTAACAGATAACAATGAGAAGATAATAAAGCAAAAAAGAATTTTGGAAGGCCTAGGAAGACCCACCCTGAAATGTTTTTTCAGTAATCCAGTGGGGAAGACAAGCCCCTACTCATTTTTCCATATCGATTAGGGAGTTATATCTTTTTTTGAAGGTGTCCATGGGTGGTGTCATAAAGGGATTGGAAACCACAACGTGGTAACTAGGTATGAGGTGCTAACACCACGACCCAGCCCCTTTCTTAACACCCTGAATTTAATCGGTACCAACTAAGCTATATATATATATATATATATATATATATATATATATATTCATAAAGGAGATTTTCACGATGGAAATACATGACCAATTAAGTGCTATCAGGTACAGTTGCTCAGAGTAAGTATTGAAGACCAGGGAGGATAATGGGATCACTTATAGATTGAATTCTTTTATAAGAACAAATATTCATTTTTTTAATTTTTTGACCTTTTCATTTCTGAGAAACATCAGTGGTGGGATTTGAACCAGCGAGATAGTGTTGCAATCATCGACACCGTAACTAATCAAGTCAGTGCCCGTACCCAACTATTTTTGAGATTCATTTCTTCCAATTAATAATAAATCCAAATCATCACAGATTCATAGACTTCCAAATTTAAAAATTCCTTTTTGCTTACTCCAGTTTCCATTCCTGGAAATAATTTCTCAGTAACTCTGCCAACGATACCTATGTTTTACGGTGACCATGAGCCTCAAGGAATCCAAATTCACGAGAGACCATATTCAAAACATTTCAATGTCAAGAAAAGCAAAATAGATGAGAACAATGAACAATAGAGATTGGAAAGAAGAATTGGAAATGGCCACGCAGCAGAAATCCAAGAAAAAAGACTTGAAGCGTCCACGGGAATCAGTTGAATACTATTCTGCTCTAGCAAGGGTCCTACCCTCAATCAGACCGAAGGTCACCATATCTCTTCTCACTATTTCCATCCATGTCCTTTTGAGCCTTTCCCTTACCCTTCTAGAGCCTCCCACTTCACCCTTCTTAATTGGTTCGGAGAAGACCACCAAACAAAAGAAAAAAGAAAAAGACACAAGCAATGCTACAAGGGAGGTTGTAGATAGTGACTCAATTCGGTTTTCTAGGGCCCAAGGAGAAATGGAGAAGCCTTGCATATGTATCATGTGATTTATGTGTCATGCCTTGTGTTATGTCTGGTCTTCACGTGCTTTCCTTCTCTATAGCAAAGAAAATAAAGGATGCCTATGGTATGGATGACATTAAATGGAAGTGTATCGATGTGATCTAAGAGCTACTAGTGCATATAATTTGGACAAGAGAGAACAATTCAAGTTGCAATTTGTGAGTCTATCAAATGTCTTGAAACCAATATAGTTATAAAAGAAATAACATTTTGTGCAGTCAAATCTGCTCCAAAGATTCCATGATGAAAAAAAGTTCGGTCAAATAGTTCCAATGATGCATGTAACAAAAAAAAAATGCGATGCACAACTAAATATTGTCTCGAACATGCTCTCCAAAGATTTCAACTAATTTAACTTTTTCAGACTCAAAATATGCAACATTTGATTAAAACATAGCGTACTTCTGCATAGAAAACCACGATAAATGGTCGAAAAAGCAAAGTGGGGAGATGCTAAAGGATTCTTACCTTCTGCTTCTTTCCTTTAGATGAGCTTTTCCTCTTGATGTTCATTTCACTTTGCTCCACTGGTTTTCGACCATGTGAACTGTTGCTTTGATTTTGGTTTTTCTTTGGCATCTCACCACCATTGGCACATGTATCCTCTGCATTTTGAGTTGATAAAACTTCTTCCTTATCTTCATGATTTGAATTGCATGGTACTGATTCACCCAAAGCATTGGGTTTTGCATTACTACTCTCTTTCTTCTCTGACCTCTTCTTTTTAGAGTTCTCCTTGAATTTTGAGTCCACAAAGGTCGTGTCATCATCAATATGAGTAGATTCAGATCCATTTCTCAGTGAAGAATCTAATTCTCTAACAAATTTGTTCTTCCTAGTCTTATGCCCCTTTACCATGGCCTCTAATATGCTGGCTTCATCATCATCACTTAATAAATCACTCTCTGTGTTAAACATGTCTTCTTCTTCTTCTTCTTCTTCTTCTTCTTCTCCTTTTTCTTCTTCTTTGTCGTAGGCATTCACCATTTCTTCGTCTTCTTCTTCTTCTTCTTTGTAGAAGGTATTGGCCATTTCACCCAGATCAGCAACTCCACTATCATTATTCAGTTTTTCTTCTTGCAAATCCAAAGAATCCTTGAATTCTTCACAAAATTCTTCGATGAAAGGATCTCCATGTCCATTACTTTTCTTTCTGTTCCCACGACTTCCATCCACTCTAAGCTCTGCAACTTTCTCCCTGTGCTTCTTCGACTGCTCATGATTTTTCCACTGTTTCTCTGACTTAAACTTCTTGCTACAAACAATACAATACAACTCTCTAACTCCATCTTTCTTTGCATCCTCATTCTCTTCCTCCTCCTCCTCCTCCTCTACTCTTTCTCCCTCGTCAACTTTTGCCCAGTCTGGTTCTTCATAAGCTCTTGCTCTCTCTAACCTCTCTCTTTCTCTTGCTTTCTTTTTACGCAATTGCTCTGCCTCTCTCTTCTGTTGCTCCAAATTCCTCTGGATTTCTCTCTCAATAATCCTTTTATCTCTCTTCTTCACAAATTTAGCAAGACCGCGAACTGTTTCATTGTATTCCTTTCGAGCCTTATTCCTCAATTTCTTATTCTCTTCATCCATTACCCGTCTTGCCTTTCTATTCTCACCCTCTGAAACTCTGTATTGATCAACCCAACAAAAATCCATTACAGTTGCAAATCCTAACCAGTAACTATAAAAAGCTGATACCTGCATATAATCGCTCCGCAAGTTCCCCATCAACGGAGCATCCTTAACAATCGACCGATCCATATTCATAAGACTGGCATAATTCACTTCGTTTGTATGGATTTTATCGCATAAATCACCATAAACTTTGTAAAACCCCTTCTTGTTATCAGTGAAACCAGAGTACGCAGAATTTGAGAAGAAAGAGAAGAGATTTAGGGATTCGACAAAGTGAGGAGGGTGCGAAGTAGGCTTTGAGTTAGGGTTTGGAGAAGAGAAGAGGATTTGCATGCGATGAGAGTCATACCAGGACCGTTCTTTGGGGTCTGATAAGACTTCGTAGGCATTGCTGAGCTCCTGAAAGCGAGCAGTCGCCACCTCTTCTGAGACACCAGATTGGAGGAGCTTGTCGGGGTGGAGTTGCAGGGCTAATCGTCTGTAAGCAGAGCGAATTTCTTCTTGAGAGCAGGTTCTGCTCACACCGAGAACCTCATATAAGCACCTCTTCTCCATTGATATCTTCTCTCTCTCTCTCTCTCTCTCTCTCTGAAATTCAATGTCTGTCTTTCTGTCTGGAATCAAGTGCCCCTTCGCTTCTCTGTCTCTCTCAATTCTCCTCTCGCGAATCTCTCTCTCTCTTCTCCTATCGCGAATCTCTCTCTCTCTAAAATCACCAGCCTCTGAAATTCAATGCCTTGTCTTTGGATCTGGAATCAGGTCCCCTTCGCCTGCTGCCCCTTTTGCATGAAACTTCCATGCACCCCCCCCAACTCCCCCTATCCAACCGTCCATTTTGAATGGACGGTTGAGATGGCCTCAATCACAATGTCACCTCTCTATATTATTTTATTTTTAAATTTTGTGAGTAATGATACTACCGGACTTGATACTCGATCTCAAAAGATCACCATTAAATTTCTTAGTCACCCAAGTTTCACATCCATGTTATAACTTTTCTAATGATCAGTATAAAAATTTAATGATGATTATTTGGGTCTCATATTCTCATTATTTTTTAATATATTAAATTATTTTACTTTAAATTTTAAGAATTTACACCTCACTTAAACTTGTTATTGTAAAAATATAAAAGAAATTATTCCTAATAAAATAAAATAACAAAAGGGTTTTGTTTTGCTATTGTTGGTATATCTCCTTAAAGTCTTCAATATTTTTTGACATGTAGATACACTTGTAATACAAAATTTTTCAAGTAAAGGTATTTTTTTGACATTTTAAAAGGTAGAAGGGATATTTCTCTAAAAAAATAGTTCGTTAAAAAAAATTAATGTATCTTTTGGGTGATGTCATACACCGTGTCAGTAATGTCATTGTCCATTGTTGTTAATAAATGTTTTTGTTTCTATTAAGAATTTGTATTTTATTCTTGATTAATTACTTAAAATATCCCTAGATAAAAAGTTACTACGCTATATGATAAGGGTATCTACATGTCAAAATATGTTGAGGACTTAAGGGTATACACCACAAAAGATATCCTTGGAAGTTTTAAAGGATATTTTGGTCTTTTGATCTTATAAAAAAAAATTAATATTTTTTTCATGTGAATCCTATTGAGAAGATGGCATGTAACAAATTTTATTTTTATATAATTTGTAGAAAAAAGTCAAAAATAAAATACTTTAAAGCATCAGATTTAAAATAAAATAATGAGTGGCTCACTTGATCTAAATTGGACTGCTGGATGGGAGGTATATATTTTCTATGCTACAGGGGAGGTATAAAAAATAAGCAAGTTTTCTATGCTTATCCTACTGTATAAAACTTCTATACTTCATTCTATCCAACCATCTATTTTGAATTGATGACTGAGATGGCCCCAATCACAATGTCACGTCTCTACACTTCATTCTATCCAACCATCTACACTGAGAGAGGGGCAAGCTTTTTATGCTTCATCTTCTACATAAAACTAATATACTTCCCTTATCCAACTATCCATTTTGAATGGACGGCTTAGGTGGCCCCAATCACAATAGTGTGTCTCTACATTATTTTATTTTTAATTTTTTTATACAATTTATTTTGACACTAAATTTTGGACACCCACTCCTCTCTTAAACTCGCATTTGTAAATATATATATATA